GTAAATTTCCTTCCCACTACCAAGCTAGCCCAATCGATTTTGAAACGTAAATTTCCCTCCATACATAAGCCCCTCCGAATTTAAGCCCCTCCAAAAATAAGCCCCTCAAAAAGGGCCTTTGAAAAATATAAGCCCAAGGGCTTATTTTCGGAATTTTACGGTATTGCAGCACAGTTGAGATTTTCTATGACAGAAACATCTTTTATGTACTGACCTCCATAGCATCTTGATCATTTTCCATCAGCTCACCTTTGGTGGGATCCTAAACAAACAAACAGTTCATAAAATTGATATAATTCTTCAATTCACGGTCTTGTTTGAAAGTGACACATCTTAGACAGGCGAAAATATGTCTCCGCAAAGTTGCAAAAATTTACCGATGTTTGTATATGGTGGGTGGGCGGCAAGTTTGTGCCCCCCACCATACAAACGTCTGTGAAATGTCATGACTTTGAGGAACTATACCTTCATAAGTTTTTCACAAATCACCCTCAAACTTGGCAATTTTACTAATTTAAAGACGCTCTTTCCAGTGGTGTAGACAGATTTCCCAAACTTGTTCAGAAACGTAAAAAGGAAGCATTTTCCCTTAGGTGATCATTATATTACATCTCAAAGTTTTTTTTTTTTCTGTTGATTATGTATTGGTATGAGAAATTGATGCTGGACACTTTTGGGACTTGAGGAGTTAATCACATATATATTCACTTCTGATGATTTTCCCCCAGGAATGTTGTACAATCAACAGAATGCCCTTTCAAAGTCATAAACTAAAGCTAATCTCCATCACAAACATCTTAATCAGAGTGTGCCAAAACCTATTTCTGATTGTACTAATAATAATAATAATAAAACTTATATAGTGCCGATATCAATATTGCTATTTTCATCAGCACTTAAAAATAAAAATATTTCAACAAAAAAAAAAAATTACTAAGACTGCATAAAATATACAAAGTGCATGAACCTACCAAAAAGAGTTCAAACAATGTCAACACAGAAACTATAAAAATTACGTAGACTACTTAAATTGTTAAAAAACTGCATAAAACCTACTAAAAACGAGATTAAAAAGCACATAAAGTTACAAAAAAGTTTTCTGAAATAAAAAGGTCTTGAGTGTCCTTTTTGTCTGGGACAGGTAGAAATTCAGTTCCGCCATGTAAACCTTTGACATGACTTAGCTGTGGGACAACCACATTTTTTAATCAGAAAAAATAAAGAAACTGTTGAAAATTGTCTTCAAACTACAGTTGAACTGAAATGCATCTCAAAAGTCAGAAAAGCGAACCTCATACTTGACAAATTAAGGTTAAATATTCCTTTTAACTTTACCATTCTGCGGCCATTTCACTAGTTTTTACGAGCTCCATTTTAGGTTTAAGTCAAAAACAATTTACAAGGGTAATAATGTAAACATTAAATGCCTGATTGTTTTTTAGTTTTCAGTTTCAAGGTAAACTTTTTGGACAAGAACTCTTGGGTTTCGGACAAACAAATTTAATATAGTGCTTGTCCAAAGCACAAGTGAATAGGAAAATTTTTGTCTTTCTCTGTTAATTGACCTACCCTCTTCTTCTGCTTGGTGACTACATGGGTAATCACAGTTGTCTTCCCAGCTTTACCAACTTTCTTCTGATCTACAGCATTGATTTTCTTCACCTGTTGAAGAACAAAAAATGGCCTTGATTTTAATCAAAATTTATTTCAATATTTATTTCCAGTTTGAATTAATGTTATTATATTACAGCAATAAAAATATTAATTTTGTAACATGCATGAAACTTCAGTCCAGACTTGCTAGTAGCCGGACACACAACCTAGAACTACAGTTTAGATATACAGCCTGTTTATCTAGTAGCTATAAGTAAAATCTGTTCTCAGGTTAACCCTCTATTCAATCAAGTTTGATACACAGTTTTTAACTGTTTCCTAGCCCTTATTATTGACAGGAGAAAAAAACAAGTTTTGGTTATACCTAAATACGGATTTTACCTGCAACATATACAAAATGATGCTAGGAAATGTATACTAAAAAGTTTGCATGTACAATGAAAATTCCTAAACTGGTTTTGCAAGTCATGAATTTGGTTTTACAACGAGTTTTACAAGTTATTTTACAAGTTTAACTTGCAAAGAAAAAAAAAGCTACAAAGTTAAGAAAGCTTGGTACCACAGCCTGTAAATTTCCTAAGTTTTTTCAAGAGAAACCAAAGAGAAGACATATTTTGACGAGGGAGGAATACAGTAGTGCAGGTATTAATAGACTACCATTATTATTATGAAATATTCACCTCTTTGTTAACATCAGCCATAAAGGCATCTAATGGATCAACATCATCATCTTCCTGCTAAACAATATAGATTAATATGATTAATTTGTCAACATCATCAGTCTCAACAAAGATGCATTACCAAGTGTGAGTCCCTTTTAAAAACTTGATCACAAGGTCTTATAAAAAACATACAGGTCCTGGCTGATCTGACATAATTTCTTAGCCAGTGGTGCGTCAGCCAAAAATGACATTTAACAATTCCTTTTACATCCTGCAGTGAGCAGGAAAACTAAACAGATTCCACATATATAATATATTTTTTCAAATATTAAAAAACCAAGTTATGAATATATAAAAAATCATATATGAGAACTGTGGGGTGAAGAATTATCTGAAAGAAGATTATCGCAGTTATAGACACAATTTACAGTTGCGAAAAGAAAGCCTGAAAAAAATTCAGGCTTGTACAGGATTCAAAACCCTGACCTCTGTGATACCGGTGCAGTGCTCTACCAGTTAAGCTAACAAGCCAACTGGGAGCAGGTCGTTGAATTGGTTCGTTATAAACCCGTGAAAGGATGATGATGAAGTTATGAATAAATAAAAATCATATATGAGAACTGCGCAGTGAAGAAAACCAACAAACAAGGAAACAAACCAGGTCCCTTCTAAAAATACTGTTTTAGAAATTTAAAAAATATGTCCCTTTGGTGGCTGTATTAATCGGGTTCCACTCTAATGAAAAAGTTCAACATATTGTACAACTGTAACAATGTCTGACCACTTTTTTTGTTGCTCAATCAAAATGACGGCGTGCAAGGACTTATGCCTTTTTAAGAACAAAATTATGAATTATTTGCAGCCCTGCTTAGTGTCGAAACTGTGGAGAGGTAAAAAATGTTTGGTGGTGCAAATTAAGACTTACCGGTTCCTCCTTTACTTTACCATTAGAAACACTAGTCTGGCCTTTTTTATCTGCAACACATTCATCACAATAGATTATTAGAATTAAGACATTAGACATTAGAATAAATAAAAATAATTATATAAAGGCGTGAACTTAACCCATTCGCTCCTGGAGTTTTTGCCGAAAAACGCGTTTTGAAGCTAGTCGAGTGGTTTTCTGGTCGCTGTCGTGCTATAAAGAGCTAAAACTTACCACAAACCGGTTTACAGGTCGTACACTTCGCGGCCTTCTGATCCAGATGCAAAATATCAGCTTGCGAAGTTCGGGCATGCGCAGAAAGCAAAATTTCGACATAGTTTTTGGGTTTAAAAGTGACACAGCAGTCTTGACTTTTACTTTTCGCTTTCTCTCCTCCCCTCTTTTTTCGCTTTTCTTGCCTCATTTTTTTTTTCTCTTGCTGGGCATTTAGTAGGCTTCATTTTGGTGGGAATAGTTTTTAGGAAAGCTTTTAGGATCTTAGGATTAGG